GGGGGGAGGGGCAGGGATGCAGGAGAAGACCCGGATGGGATGATGGGAGCAACTAGGCCTAGTTTGGAGGTAGAGGAACTTATTGCCTGGCATGATAAATAATTTCTTGCTTTTGATGCAAGTGATGGCTCAGTTCCAGTTTAATTCAGCAAGATTTTTCTTTAATTATGCATAGTGCAGAAAGCAAAATCAAAATACTTGCAAATTTATCAGGTGCATGTGGCTGATTTGCCTTCGAACACCTTCGTGGTTTTACTGTCCCGCACGCACACCCTGGTGGCTTTGCTTATCGTTTATGGCTATGGCGACTCCCGGCCGAAGAGAAGTAGGCAAACCACACTCTGAGTTCCTTACGAAGAGTGGTCTTTATATTACGAGGAATTGGGTTTGTAACGTACAAAGGACCTGGAACCACCATTCCAAACCTTCCAAACCGATTTTCCTCGTATTACAAAGAGCAACAGTTTGTGAATAGACAGATGCTCTTCGTATCACACAGCTGAGCCCTTCGTTGTACAAAGGATTTGTTTCCATCACAAAAGTTTCAAATCTTTTGTACGTTAGAGAGAGCAGATCTTTGTAAACTTACAGTGCGCCCGCACGTATGCACGCTGCACGCGTTAAAGTCTAACTACGGAAGTGGGCGGGGCAAATCAGCAGATAAATCTGACATCTGACTGATACAATCAGCCACTCGCGTTAGAGACGATCAGTCACTTCGAACTTGTGGAATCATCCAGAAAGTACGTCCGAGACATGCGCCTTAAGAAACTGCCAAGTTCAGCCAATAGCGCCTGATAGGTAGGCAACATCGTGTCTGCGGTGCACGCGTGTACTGCGGGGTGGCCTACCCCGAGTCTCGCAGGCGGCGACCTTCCGTAATCTGCCGCATGCATCCGAGAAAATCGAACGTACTTCCTCCCCGATCCCCATGGTAGCGATGCACCCGTCTCGAGGAGTCCACGGCTGGCTAGAGACTTCGACGCACGATCGAACATGGGGTTTTTGTTCCTAGTCTCAGTTCCATTTAGACCGACGATTTGCCATTTTACTTCCTCATGAATCGATCCCGTAGCAGGTGATTGACATGTCGGGCTGCTTCTCTGCCTGACCAGTCAGCGTCCAGGCGGGCCGCCGCCCGTGCTGTGGGAACCGGGGGCGTCCGCGTTCCTTGCCTCAGCGCGAAAGGGATCACGGGATCACAGACCTCCAACTGCAGCGGCCATTCCGTCTTGGGGATTCCTATTCCCACTAGTTGGGCAAAGGACCTTCGGGGAAAGCCAAACTGCATCAAAGGCTGCGCAAGAACAACAAGCGGCCGGCGGCCGCAGCGCGGCGGTGCGGGGGGCGG